TCTTCTAGTCTAGCTTTCTAATAACTCAAATAATCTAACATAACAAAATTTCCATTGCATATAAACAGATAAACGGTAGTATTGGGATACATGCCATTTGTTTTCTACACACATTAAAAATTAGACAAGGTAAATATGAAGCACAACAATAAAAGGAATGAAATAAGCAAAATTTTCTTGCTTTTTAAAAGATAATTGCATAGGAATTTTTAAAACAGAGCTGTTAAAAACAAAAGTATTTTCATGCTTGGTCTTTGAGCCAGTTTGCATAATTTGCATAATTTTTGTTACTTATTTCAATAAGTTTTGTCAGTAATATGTAACATATAATTGCTGCTGTTAACCTTTTAGCAATTTACAAAAGTTATAGTTTTTTTATTCCAAGCAGTTTAACAATTAAACAAAAGAATCTACCGACTGTGAAGCTTCCCTGAAAAAAAATTCATTATTCCTGAGGTTTATGCAACATTATATATATGAATGAAAAACAACTAATGAATTATGAATGAAATGTTTTTGGATAAGTCTCCAAGCCATAATCAAACCTTATACATTTCGCATGCAAACCCTTGTTCACATTTCTTTACTATTTTTGCTACGTATAATGCACCTTTTTCTTGAATGAAATTTCGATTAGCAAATAAGGTATACATGTCAGGTAAAAGAATAAGTATTGCATATTTGTAACAGTTCTAAGCAAAAAATTATAAATTTCCTTTTTAATATGAATGTTACATGTATTCCTGAAACAATATGAAAGAAAAGCATTTTATTCCCTTCCTTTTATATTTATAAGAAAGGTTCTTGGAGCAAACAACTCGCACAAATACCATGTTTGTTCCAGAGAAGCCATATCTTAGCAATTTTAACGAAAGAGGGCAATCTGTTTTGGTCAAGATTTGTTAGGCCTTAGGGAGAAGTGTTCGCTTTGAATACAGGATTATAGAAAAGCCCTTCCTCAAGTAATGTTACATTTATTGCTAAGGGCCTCTTGTGAAAAGGAAGAAAAAAAAAAATGCTTTGCAGTGAAAACTGGTGTTTACTCTATGGGTTCGATCTAATCATATGTTATATGTTAATCATTTGAAGATACGCTGTGTAATCCAGTGAATCACCACAGAATAGTTTCCTCAACCCTAAGGTAACTTGGGAGAACTAGGGAGAGTTAATGAGAATCTCCTTCCGACTTTGAAAAGATCCATAGAATTGCAACATCTTATAAAGTCTTACCGAAGAGTTACCTCATTATAAGATTCTTTTCATTATAAGATTGTGCTACTGTGTGCATTAGTTAGAACTGTATTTCAAATAATACACATCAGTTTGAATATTATGCCTTTTTCCTTTTTGAAGGGAAAAATTACTTAATTTTTTAGTTGCCCTGCTGTGTATTTTTGTGATGTTACAATCTGTGAAGGATATTATAATATTCATGTAAAGAACCAGCAAAATAAAATTTTGTGAAAAAGTAATTTAGACTTTTCTGTGTTATTTCTTTATATAAAAAGTGTCTGTTGAGCTCAGAATTTTAAATGATGAAAGTAATACTTTCTGGGAAGAAAAGAACTGTTATTTCTCTTTCATCACCATGTAGAACAATAAATATATAATAAAAAGGGAAAGGTAGTTAAATAATAATTTTTTTTTTTTTTTTTGGTTCTGATCTTTTGAAAATTTTAATTTCCTTTTTCCTTCACATATATTTTATTTGCATTTTAGTTGTGCTTATATATATATATATGTGTGTTTCCTCCAGCTTCCATTGGCTAAACATCTTAATAAGCCAGCATAAACAAATGGGCACAATAAGTGCACCTGTTATAGAAATTTATTACATTTTTGAAGGCATCAGCAGGTTGGCAGAAGCAAAGTGTAAAGTGAAATGTGTTTGTAATTAACATTGAGGATATGTTAAAAAGTTTTAGGTTTTAGTTTACAATTTTTAGTTTAAGTTTCAAATTATCTGTATCACCAGCATTGTGTAAGCGATGGAAGGAGCAAATATCCAAATTAAAATGAAATATTTAAGAACTGTTGCAAATGAAAGATATAATTTTAATTTATAATTTTTATCTTATGCACTCATGTATATTTATGTATTTAAATTGCTGAAACATGAATTTCAGGCATTTGTCTGGTAAACAGAAAGCTCTTGCCACGGTCTTTGCTGAGATGGAAAATGATACTCCAGGTACTGTTGATGGTGTGATCCAAACAAAAGAAGGTATGTTTTATTTTAAAGCTTTTATTGACACTATTTTAAAATCTGTGATATAATTTTTTCACCTCCTCCTGTGAGGCACAAGCAGTGTTGGAAGTTCTGTGCTCATTTATTTCTGTGTTTTAATATACAGCTCTTAAAGTATGTTTTGTATTTTATTTATGTGTTTAAATAGTGATTAAATGTGGCCTTCTTCTTGTGCATAGGCATCCAGAGGGCAGACACTGTGGTATTGGATCTTCTCCTTAGTATCTTGTCGAGCTTGTTTTCAGTTTCTTACCATTCCTACTGTTTCTAATTCACTTCTGTTTAGAAAACTGTACTGTGTTTTTAATTTCTGAAAAATAATTATTGATTATTATAGACATATTCTGATTTGTGATTCTGGATTTGAAAAATGTGTGAATGTAAAAATGAACATTTTTGTTGAAAATTACTTAATATGATTTTGAAATTTTTATCAAATGGCTTTACATTACAATACATAATTTAATAGATTTTTTATGTGTTTTTAAACATGATAAGGAAATTTGTATAACTTACTGGTAGGTACTGTAATATTTTACTTGTGTGTCTTTCAGGTAAAGTTGCTGCTACATCTGATGATTATGTTTATCAAATACGCTCAGCTTTAAATGAGCATGATACTGAAAATGAAGTTGAAAGTGGACAAAAGAAAAGTGGCTAGCTTCATTTAAAAACTGTGTACTTTTAGATTTGTATAGAATTGTTAAATATGTTTATATATCATTCTGTTATTCAATTGTTAAAACATACATCATTCACAGAAATAAAATTTTAAAAAATTGCTCTCAGTTTCATTTTATACACAAAGTAATCTTGGTTTTAAAAAAAATGTAATTTTCTGGTACTGTAATTTAATCTATTTTTATACTCTGTTAGTATACAGTACAAAGCTTGAGACCCGAACTCATCGGGACTTCAGTATTTCTCGATTTGGGATTTTTCCAGACATTAGATCATCAGTTTAAATCTAGTAAGATGACATGTAGAAATTATGCAGTTAAAAATATGAAATTGCGATTTATGAAATAATGAAGCATTTATGATTAAAGGATCAAAATTTTCAAAAAAAATTTAATATTATTATTATTTATTAAACATTTCTTGATATAAATGTTTAGATTGCTTTGTTTTTTTTTTGTGCTAATACCTTCTGGCAATCTTAACAGAATAATTTCTTATTCAGTTACAAGTTCCATTGTTCAAGTCTTAGTTGCTGTGCAAGAATTCCAAACTGTCAATTGAAACTTTTCCATCTTCAGTAACCTCTCTGTACTTCCTCACTATTGGTAGTGCATTTTCTGATCTACAGGGGGGCCAATAAGACCTTATGTTAAATAGGAAGAACTCTTGTAATAATCATTATTTTGATTAATTTTAACATAAAATATAATTTAGAAATATGCATGAAATATGCATAGCAAATGTCACCATTTTTTCGATACAGAGATTGGTCTTTTAATGGTTTCATACACAAGTAATGTTTCTGGTTGAAGGCTCAGAATTTTGTCTCGAATATTCTGCTTCAGCTGTCTAATAGTCTCTGGTTTATTAACATACACTTTGTCTTTTAAATATCACCATTAGAAAAAAGGATCCTGCTCCGCCATTAGCCGCAAAAAAATTTCAATCGTTGTTCTGCAAGAAGCTCCAGAAATCGTTTCTTGTATTCCATCCTCATTCTTGAAGAAATATGGGCCGATAACTGAGGAAAGTGACAGAGAGGTTGGCCATAACACTGCACCAAACAGTACACTTGAATTAAAATATTGCTGAAATTTACTCTGCGTCATAACAATTGATCCTAGACAAGAATCGAAAAACTTGATAATTTTAATGCGTTGTTTTGTATTGTGTGGTTCCATAATAAATTTCCAAGAATTCAATTATAACCTACAAAAAGAAAAAAAAATAATTATAGCAAAAGATAAAAAAGTTATTTGTGTTTAACATTGGTAGGTCTGATTTGGCCCACCCTGTAGAACAGAGGTGGCCAACCTTTTTGGGAAGCGTGCCACTTCCAACATATTGAAAAAATTTAAAAAGGGGAAAAAATTTTATTTATAGGCTGATTTTTTTCCCAAAAAGCACATTATTTATGTAAGTCTGAGTAGTAGACATTTAAAAAATAATATAATAAATAAAATAAGCACATAATCTAGGGTTTTGTTGTGAAAAAACATTTTTTAAAGGTCCAGTCAATTAGGTTATGTACAAAACAAAAATGAATAATTTGAAACATTTACATCTAAACAACTATTACATAGTCAGTTCTTAATTAATGTGGTTTTTGAATATGCAGTTGTTTTTACAAGTCTCTTATATTAGGATTACTTCTTGAAGATACTAACAAAACTAGGTGTTTAATGTAAATTAAGTAAATCTTGAACGATATTTTCATTTAATTATGTTTGTAAAAGAAAAAAAAAATTAATAAAAATTTATGTTGATCCAAACCTAAAACAATATCTGACAGCCAAATCGTGAAAATTTAAAAAATTGCTTGTTGTTAAAAATTTCCAAAATTCAATATAATTTGGATCATTTGCGGTTGAAATAAGTTCCTTATGTATGCTTTTTAGTGTAGTATACTGCTGTAGGTCAGTACTTTTGATTTGGATTTCAGTTGCATAACAATTAACGTCTGCAGAGAAACTGAATTATTATATTTGTTCTAATGTGTTTGTGTGCCTCTATCAACGGAGTTGATAAAGATGATATTATATTTTTAAATCTTTTAATTAAGTCTTCGTGTGCCACTCTTAAAACTCCGCCTGTGGCACATGTGCTGCAGGTTGGCTATCCCTGACCTAGAACCATAGTGCAGATTTTGCCCTTCATTAATTGAATGATGATTGGAGCATTGTCATCGGTAATAAAAAGTCTACTATGTTATCTTCATTTATTACTGCCTGTCCACATTTCTTTATTAAAAAAAAACACCATTAATTAAAAAATTTCAGTGCTCCATCCAGCAGATTTTATGCTAAAATATTTCAAAAATTCTTGAATAATTTTGCATTGATTTTAAAATTATTTAATAATAATTTAACATTGATTTTAAAAATGCTACTTTATATTTGCATTTCAGCGCCTGCGTTGTTCTGACATCCATAGGCTGAATGATGGACATACAGCTTGAAGGAAGGAATAACACGAATACATTATCCTTCATCAAAAGTTTTAAGTGAAACATGAGCTGAACAATCTACAATCAGGGCAATTTTTGCATCATCAGGTGAACCAACCAAATTCAAATTTGGCCGAGCCTCTGGTATGAAATGATTTTCAAACCAGTCATATATTAACACTTGCATCATCTATGCTCTTTTATTTGAACGATATATATCAGGAAAAATCTTTACTCTTTTAAATGTTCGAGGTCATGTATTATTTCCGATTACGAAAAGTTCATACATGTGCGTTCCTGCAGCGGTTGCACATGCTTAAATTGTTAATTTAGCTTCGGAATCTTCAAAACCGGTTGGAGCTGTTTCTGTAGAGGTTGCCAAGGTATTTTGCGGTACATATTGCCAGAAAAGACCAGTTTCATCAGTGTTGTAAATTTGTCCTGGAGAAAATGTTTCACTATTAACAAGTTCAATGAATTCATCTGCAAACAGCTCAGTATCAGCTGGAGCTTTTTCACCTGAAATTTTTAAGTGCATTATACCACGGCAATTTTAAAATTTGGTTAACCAGTCTGTCGAATATGTGCGCTCAGCTTTTAGGTTAATTTCTTCATGAAATATTTTGGTTTGAGCCATTAGTGTTGGACTCGTCAATGGCATGTCCTCACTGAGATGCTGTCTAATCATTCAATCATCACTTTGTCATAATCGTCACTTCTACCATAGCGAGTAATTTTTCTCTTTTTTATTGCGAGTGGGGTGTCAGAATCTATGAAAAATTCAAATTCCTTTTTCTGTTAATGTCATATACAGTTAACATTCCAATGTCATACTCCTCATATAATTATGAGACAGATGTATGTATATCCATTTTTTACAGACAGATTTATGTATTCCAATTTTTGTTTAATCAGCATTGAAACATGCTCTCATTTTTTGGATCCTGCTGGAGCTCCAGATTTAGAAACTATTTTTGAGATAATCGAAAGTTCAAACTTTGATTTTCATTAAATTTCTGTATTAATAACAGGCTGCAAAAGATAATAAGGTAAATCAAATCAGAATAGCGCAATCCGTTATATTAACTGAAGTTGTTTGGAATCTAAAGTATAATTTTAGCCTAACTTAACAGCGTCTGCTGCACATTATTGGCTATGTATCACAAGGTTGGAGAAAAAAGACTATTTGTTCTGCTAAATTTTGTCTTGCTTCTATCGCACACTAAGTCAATTAAGCATGAATTGTATTGATTTAGTTATTTATTATACTTGCATCTATTTCTTGCGTAAGGGTTATCTGAGTCCTGAATAAATAAATTCCCACATATACTTAAGCTTACTTTTTCAGTCTCTGCGGTTCTTAAATTCTGCTACCAAGCACCTCCCTAAGCTCTAAATTTTTGCCGCCCCTTAATATTGGGTCCTTGTGCTTTGCCTAAATTCTAAAAATTTTATCATCCCTTAATTTTGTTACTTGGTACTTCTCTAAATTCCAAAAATTTTGTCTTCACTAAATTTTGCTGCCTGGTGCAGCCCATCGCCGGTTCTTCTCCAAATGTTTTATTATGGGAAAAAATATCAAATGAGTATGCGTAAAGCATAAAGAAATTCTTAAAAAAAAATTGGATGGTGGCTTTAAGGTTCGGATTTTAGATCATTCCGGATATTGGACGTCCGGATCTCGGACTTCGTACTGTATTAGAAAATTTAAAAGAAAAACTCAGCACGTGAGATTTTTGTGTTTGGTAATAATTTTTGCATACTTGTTTTAATCTTATTCAGGATCTTTAAAGAGTTTATTTTCTTTATGAAAAAATTTAACAGCAAAATAAGCAATTGTTTGGGCAAAATGTTTTCATCTTGTATTTATTGATGCTGCTTTTATCTTTGGCCTCTCATTTTAAAAAATGAAATTTATTAGCTGATAAGTCGCATATCCTTTCTAACCTCACGATGTACTTAGTCCAGAAACATTTCTCTACTGAAGATACTGGATCAATGTTGGTATTCAAAGTGAAATGAATGGATCTTACCGAAGAGATACAGTTATTATAAATGAATAAATCAAAATTTATTGAAACTTCGTTGAATACAGAATTTCTAAAATAATGCTTGTTGACATAGAATATACTATATAAGTACAATATGTCTTCAAGTGTCTGACAAAAAGTGTTCTTATATTAATAACCAAGAACTGCCCCATTTTTGTTCAAGGGGAAAACAACTGACCAAGGAAGTAAGTTTTCTGTTGTTATTATTATTTTGTATTAACTGTAAGAAGAAACCAATGTAGCCAGAAGTTTCATGTTCAGAATGAAGCTGATTAGCTTATGTGATGAGTTCTTATCGTTTCTAATATCACCAGGCACTTGGTTCAAAAACATTTCCCTTCTGAAGATACTGGATCCTCATTAGTGTTCAAAGTAAAGTGAAGGGATCATTTTGTGTTTTGCTGTGTTTGTTTGAGTGTGCTATAGCAGTTAGATATAAATTATTATTTTTAAAATTTTGTTAACTGTTTATTAATTGTTAATTTTAACTATGAACCATTTAAATCAGTAATTAGTTATTAACTATTAATTTTTAATTGTTTGTTAGCTAAATAGCAGAATGTTATCAGAACTGTCAAGAATCCTATTCAGAAGAATTCAAATTT